CCCATTTTTTTGACTTCTTACTCAAAGAAATGAGAAAGAGCGACAAGCTACCATTGGTTAGGACTGAGAATTGCCACCAGAGAGATCCTTGAAGAGGAATGAAGCAGAATTTCTTTGAAGTAACACATTTGCAGATCTCAATCTGACAAGAAGAAAATGTATCATAATTAGGCTTATTTCTACTCCAAGACAAAAAAAGTCTAGTATGCTTCAGGATACAAGTGGATTTCACTGTAAATATACCACAGCTACTGAGATTACAGGGACCAAGCATGAGGCACGCACAAATCACAGGAATTGAACTGCTAAAGCCCTGCTCAATTTACTGAGAGGCTCCTGAGCTTCTGATATGTCAAGATCTATTTGTCTAAACATTATCTGTAAAAACAACATAACATAGTGAACTGAGACTGGGACTGCAGAGGCCAAAAAATCAATATTCTAATCTTGGCCCTGCCTCAGATGCATTTGGTGGCTCCAGAGAAGTTGTTTAATCTCACTGCATGCTTGCCAGAGATAACCAGTTCAAATATAATAAACTTCACTGAAGAGCTGTGCAGATCAGTTCACAGCTTCTGTATACTTCTCTCAAGACCTGAACTGTTATATAAATATTATCATTACGTGTAGGACTTCTGGAGGTTTGTCTCCAGGAAAATACAAATCATGTATATTTGAATCTGAAATGTCAGGTCGATTTTCTAGCAGATGCCCTTGCCCCATGGAGACTTCAAGCACAGCCTGGTGGCAGCACAGAAACCACAGAAGCCACCAGGACGTGTGCCATGATAATGTCTTTTTTTGTTTGTTTGTTTTTGTTTTTTTTTTTAAATGTGTTAAAACAGAATTATTTTAAAAATGGTTCAGGTATTTTCTCTCAGATAGTATTATCATTTTCATTCTGTCTGAGGCAGGAATAGACCATACTTCTGCTCAAGTTACTTGCATAATGCAGAAATAACAGAGAGAAGGACCTATGGCCTGTTTATTTAAGAAGTAAGACTAAATAATAATTGTGATTCCTTCTGGCTTAAAGTACTCAAAAACGTGCTGGTTTCATGTTCCACTCATTTTCCCTAATATCATAATTTCTGAGTGATTATTTTAGTAGAGGCTTAGCTGAGTTGTGCTCACTTCCAAGGATCTTAGAAGGGTTACCTGCAGGGAGACAAAAGACAGGTAAAAACTCCTGAGTGAAGCCACAATAACCCTTTTCAGCTTTTAAAAACCAAACCAAATGAAACAAACAAACAAAAAAAAAATCAACCAACCAACACCACCACAAATTATCTTCTATAATGTAGGAGAGAAATACTGGCTGCATGCAGCAAATGAGATCCGAATACAAATCCCAGCAAATTCTGCACTTTTCCAGTCCAAAAGAGACGCAGTTTGCTAATTGTTCTAGAAACTACTTATGAGTGGACGTTTAGGAATTACAAAGGAAAAGCAACTGTTAAAACAATAGGATCTACGTTTACTGGTATGTATATTTTACAGTCATTAATGCTTTCAGAAGTTAGTCCAGCACCTCAAACAACCCCAGGTTTTGTCTCCTGTACTAGGCCTTTGTCGTGCTGTTGTAATGCAGTTAGCACAGGCTGTGGCTGGCAGGTGGTAGCTACACCCAGACCTAGACAAGGTTCTGCGTACCATCAGAAAAAGCTGGAAACATTCGCTGTGTTCAGTGGGGAGGCAACAGGGGAAGTGGTGCAGGGGGGTGATGCACTCACAGCAGCCGGGGTTGCAAAGCACGCAGCCTCCAGTGCCGCTAAGCAGGCAGGACCCGGCAGAGTCACTAAGTCTGGAAGCAGCTGAGTATTTAATAAGCTGCATGCTACCATGCACTTACATAGATTAAGTTGTAGCAAAGCCCTAGCAGTAAAGGGTCAAAAGTGCAGGTCGGAAGGGCTAAAGCCCAGGCAGACCGCATCGTAACCCATCCTGTCCTCAGCGGAAAAGGACTTAGGGAGGAACTGCGAGAAAACGAGTCTCACTCCAACCGAGGAGAATTTTAAAGGCCAAAAGGCAAGAATGCTAAAAGTAATTGAAGTTAAATCACAGGTGACCGGGTCTGGCAAAGCTCATTTATGCAAAGGCTGTGGGGTATCTATCTGCCCCTGATAAACTGAGCCTAAGGAGCACAGTAGGAAAGAAAATCAGATTCTCCTCCTTCGTGGTTTACACATCTAAAACAAAACAACTCTTTTATCACCCTATCCATGTGATCTTAAATATTCTTGTATGTGAACCATTTGACACCTTTTGTTTCCCAGTGTGCATAATTCCCTGGGCATCACCTTCACCCTGACACTGCCGGAGACCGGAGTCCTGTCTCAGGCAGCGACTCCCTGCAGCAGGCTCCCCCCTCTCGTCTCTCCCTCCTTCGCAAAGGCTGTTTCAATACTCACAGAGCTACCGGCTTCGGACAGGCCAGCCCGTCTGATCTCACTTCCTCCAGCGTAATCACAGACTTCGGTGACTGTGCTTTTCATTTATACTGACGTGACCAAGATTGAAATCTGTCCCACAGCAAATATTTATCGGAGCATATCAAAGGAAAAGCAGATCAGAAGAGTAAAAAGCAAAACAGCGAGTTCCATTAAACTTTGCCAAGACAGATTTCAAAGTCAATGAAAACCACCCCAGAGACACAGAACTAAAATGCAGGACAAAGTAGAACACTGAAAAAAATAAACTCAAATTTCCAAACACTGTTGTCCTACAGAACAACTTTTAATTACTTATAACTTGCAAAGATTAAGAAGGAAAACCCGCACAGAACTAGCAATATATGACCAAAACTCAACGATCACCACCCTGCTGCTTTTGTTAACAACTTGGCTTTGATATGTACGTCCATCGTGGCTACCTGTTCAGGTCAGGGACCCTTTCTACAGAGCAGTAGGAAAGAGGACATCTACAACTGACTTTCTAAACAAAATAAAATAACAGGATGCCACACTTTAATTAGATAATTAAAACTCTGTAGCTGCTTTGGTACATGCCAAGGACACTCAGTTTCTTGGCAACAGACCTGTCATTTTCCTTCTTTGATATCCAGGTCACAGCCATTTGGATTAGAGGCTCATTTCCAGCGGCAGTGCGTAGCAGAGGCGCACAACTTCCCGTCCTGCTGTTGGTATCCCCCTGAAGTTCAGCACCTTTTGACTACATTTGTAAAAGCTGTTAAGTATTAGAGCCCTTATAAAAAGTAGTTTCTCCATATTCACAAAGGTCAGGGGACATGTAAGCATATTAAAACATTAGGTAGCCCTGTCCAACACCAGCAACTTCTTACATCATCTGCAACAAAGTCGCACCCTGTTCTAGCTGGGGAACCTGACTGAAAGGGTAATGAGAGAGGAAAACAAATGTTTCATCCCCAGCTCTCCAACTTCTTTGAAAGTTGGGTCTACCCCATTCCTGACGGTTTGCTATCATTCCCCCTTCTTATGAGAAAGGGGAACACTGTCCTAGAAGAGGCCTACCCACTGTCCACATTAGGTGAGGCGATCACATACGTTTCTGAGGAATGTTGATGTGGTCAGCTAGCTGGAAGAAAAGCACGTAGCCCGGGCCACCGGCCCCAGCGCTTTGCCTAAGCTGCCATCATTTTGTCATCAATCTGTATGCAAAGCACAGTTCCTCACTCCCGGCCCCACGTGAACTGGAGAGGCATAACAACACATGCCTGTTTTTGAAATACAGAGGAATACCAAGGAGCAGGTGAGACAGAACAAATCATACAGACCAGGTGGTAGCCACACTGCTTAATTCGGCATTGCAAAGTGCCCGGCTAGTCTAGAGATGAGCCACAGAAGAACCTGTGTAGGATAATGCCCTTTGTTAAGTGCCAGCAGTTTATTACATTATATTCCTGAGAACAGCTGAGTTGAATTAACCACAGTAACAATTTATGACTCCTCCTGACAGCTGCGTACTGCTGCTGTGGTTGCTGGTACCTCCTGGGCAGATGTAAACTTGTTGAAAGCTAACCAAAAGCCAACTGTCCTGGTTAGCACAGTGCCAAACCCTAGCCAATAAACCACCCAGCGGGTGCATTAGCTTATGCTTGCTGCTACGCTAACCATCACTTGAGTTTTGGTCAACTTGGAGCATGACCAGAACAGGCTTGCATCCACTCAGCAAACATAACAAAAACAGCTTGAGAAAGATAATACACCAGGTGTTGCAGTAACAGTGGGTTAATTGCTCCTCCCTCCAGCTACTTCAAGCAAAGGAAAGGTTCCTAGGAACACGCTCTCTGAAGAGTCTTTATTCTGATAATACAGGTATAAGTCAAGATATAAGTATTCTTCTTTTCTTGTGTACAGCCTACATCCATGCCTATGTATCACCATTTAGCTCTAAAAAACATCCTTCATGTTTGATTATTCTTCATTAAAAAAAAAAAATAATCATTGAGTAATTTCATTAAAACAATGCTGCAAAGTGAAATTTGGCAGAACTTGTGGAGGTTGTATTTTCCATTGCTTGTCCTGAATTTGATCTTGCACTAGGGCCAGGTAAGATAAACAAAGCAGATTCTTGACCCCAAAAATCTGATTGCCTTGATATTCTGGAAATGAAGCTTTTTTCCCCCCTGAGAACAGTCTGGCTCTTTAAGATTGCTATAGCGTGCACATAAGGGGCAATGAATTCATTTTCACTTGGAAGCAGACCACTTCTCTCTACAGATGAGCATACCATAAATACTGTTATTATTTCATGAACTACTGATGATCAGATAGTAGCCATTTTCTACATTAACCCCCACGGAACAAACTACAGAGGCACTCCATGGTTAGGTTTTGCATGAGACATCTACTCTTGGAACCACTGCTGTCCACATCCAGTCATCTGCAACATCTAATAAACCATGGATCAAAGTAGAGAGCAGGTTAAACAGCCTTGGCCACCTTACCATCCTGTATGAGCCAGCAAGTAACAGAGCTTATTGTAGTTGGGACACAGGCATGAGTAGTTTCAAACTACGATTTAAGATTTTTACTATGTTTATTTGTGTTATCCTGTAAAGGGAACATTCCACAGTATGATGGGATGCAATTATAACATGCAAATCCGTCTGCAGAGGAAACCCAGTCACCAGCTAAACCCCGTAAAATTATTACACAGTTTTAACACAAAAAAAATAACATGAAGTCAGAAAAAATAGTTTTTGTTTTCTTTTAAAAATCAAAATCTTAATGAAGAAACTGTATTAGAGGTAATGCAGAACATCAATTCTTTTTTTAATAAGAAAACCTCTCCAGAAAACGTTTCAGACTTCACACATGCAGCTCGTTATTTGTTTTAGTACAGCTTGCTTTTATCACTTGATTTTTAGATAATTATTTTTCCAGTTAATTATCATCTCTGTCTCATATTTAGACTTAAAAGGTTCCTATCACCTCTGTATTTGAGTAGTAAGGATTGCTGTTTTATTTATGTTTATTGAAATAATGACCTTCTTTATTACTACCCCAGATACTAAGTCAATAATATCTTTCCTGTTAACTATCCACATATACTTTGAAATATTGTAGCCTATTTTACTGTTGTCTCTGATTTTTAATTGTAGGTCTGATGCCAATGAATGAAATAAAACAGGACTCCTTAGACAGCATCATGTTTCCCATCTCTGGAGAACAGTTATTTTCTTTGCTTTGTTATTATTTCCCCTGACAGTTACCTCAAGCCTATGACAATGACATAGTCTTAACTCTTCACTGCTGTTTGGTGGCTCAAAAGACTCTGGAAAGCAATACAAGTTTCAGAATTCAGTTTTTAATTAATACGTATTAATCTCTCCAATCATCCTGGCAGCAGTTTCTGAGAATAGGCATTGAAAGGGGTTCCTCTAATACTGAAACTCAGGCTCCCTTTAAAGCAGGATTAAGGCATGCTAGTCAAGAAACCTACTGACCATTCTCTTTCTTATCTAGGAAAGAAGGATCTCTTGACTTCCCAAAGGTATTAATAAACACCATACATATATCCATTACCACTGAAGAACTCTGCCCAGATTTCATTTTGACTGTCAATGTGGCAATGCCTGCGAACCAATCAAAAGATTACAGGTCTTTCAGAAAGATGAATCAACTCTCATTGTCCTCCCGCAAAAACTGATCTTCATTCTTCCTCAGCCGCTGTTTCTTCATTCTCAGAATCCCTCACTTTCAGATCTATGTGCTTCATCAACAGATTTTGTAAACCTCTCCCCAGCATAAATCCCATAATGCAGCTGGTCATCCTTTACAGTAGCCCAGGACATCTGCTTGGTGGAGAACCTTGCTGCCCACTCTCCTGAATTGCTAACAACAATGACACCCCCCAAGCCCCCAACTCGTGTCTTCATGTAGTCTAATGCAGTGTCAGCAGCCATCTCTGGTGACATTCCTGAAAAGAAGAACAAGGTAACTTCATGGTATCTGTCTTGAAATAAGTTTTTAAATTCCCTTCCAGCTTCACCCCTCCCCATGGAGCCAGCTAATCTAATTCCTTCTTCAACTAAACTGGTAATAAATTTCCAGTGTAGCAAAGGAACTGTTTATAGGAAGGCTCTGGACAGTTGCTAATAGCTGATATAGCATGGTGCTGCTACCAAGGCAGGACTTAAATAGCTTCAGATTGTAATTCATTTTCAGTATTTGATATAGACTAACTCACCAACTCTATGTCCAAGACACAATATTTCTTATGCTATAATCTGAAGAAAAAAATGCCAACGTGAAAGCTTTCCATCAAAGGTTTGTCACAAACTAGGTCTAAAGCATTTAGATTTTGAAAAAAAACAACACATCAAAACAATCAAAAATTTCAGTCATCATCTCTGTTCCAAGTCCACTGGTCACAATGGAGCTCAAAGCACATACTTCACTGTCATAATTTATCAAAAGCAGACATCTGCATTACTTTTCCTGAAACTTCTGGAAGTATCAGGCAAGATGATGATTAGATGTACCAGACATCAGAGAAAGGACCCGCAAAGCAACTTTATGACTTCATGACACTTAATTCATATTAACAGGAATATTTTCTAAATAAATCGAAGTTAATGTGTACATCATACACACAGGCCTGTAATAGCTGCAGAATATTTGTTCACTACAAGTTTGAATATATATTCAGGAATGCAGCTGGCTCAGCCCACTTGTTCAAAGATATATACCATCAGTAATGTTATGCAGCTTAGGTTGCAGAACAAAAACTGACCTTCATGCCTTCCCTGCAAATTTTGAGTTAAAACCAAACAAAACCAGCAGAGTCAGAATTATTCACAGCACTGGTGACTGACAGGATAAAGCTCCTTTCTCTGACGTTACGGGTGACACTGTGACTATTCAAGTCAGTGACACTGACTTCAAAGGGTCAGTATTCCACTGTTTGGTTTTTCATCACGACAACAGCTGCCACCATTAGACAGAGACTCTAACAGCTGTTAAGACTGGCAAAGCAATTCACTCCTGAAACATGAAAGTAGATTTTGCAGCACTGGCCCAAAAGAAGATATTTACTATATAAATTCCTGAATAGCTGAACAGAATTATGAAACAGCAACTTCAATTGACTGTTCAAGGACTCAAAAAGTTAGAACTTGAGGGTTTGTTTTCAGTGCCTTCATGGAAACAGGGGGAGGGGGGAAAAGTCTGTTGCTGACGTATTTTCCTGGCAGCTGAATAGTACTTCTGGGCAAGATGAATGAAGGTAGAGCAAGCATGGGCAGGGTGAACAAGCACAAACAATCAAACATACACACATATGGGTTAATTTTCTTTTTTCTTTTTCTCTTTTTTTAAAAAACTTTTTAATTTAAGCCTCATTTGCCTTTCATACTGATTTATCAGAAGCCAGATAACTGCTATCAATGCGTATGTTTTGCAACGCAGTTACCTTCAAGCCAGAGAAGAAGCTGGTTTACGCAGTTTAGACTAAATAGAGCTTAGAAGGCCATTTACAAACTGAATAGCTAGAGACATAATATAGAGAGTAAGGGGAGATCATAATGTGTTAGAGCTTTGGGAAATAATCTGTAGGTTGTATTTTATATTGAAACTACCACATTAGCCAAAAGATTTACAGAGAAATGCACCCATTATACGCAAACATCCCTATAAAGCATAACAAAAATATTATCAGCTGTTACTTGTCTCTCTACTTACTGCTTCTCCAACAAAAATGTAAATTGAAAGTTTTCCAACTCTTTCCAGTTCGGTCAATCTCAAAGCAAGTTACACGCTGCTGCCCAAAAGCTATGGCTTTCTAAAAATAATGGTTATATCTATATTCATGGTTCTTCAACTGCATGCAATACAACTATGTTGTCTGGCTATGTTTACAGGCTGTAATATAATCAAGGGTTTAAATGACAGACTAACACATGAAGGTAAAGCTCCAAAGGGTCATCCCACAGACAGATTATATTACAGTCACATAAGACATACTGTGTCAGCTGTTTACCACATACCCACCCAGTCAGTTTAGTGTATTTTCCAAAACAAAATGAAAATTTAAATCATAGTTAAAACATCTTAAAAGCACTTCTGTTGCTATAATCAGAGTTGTTAAAATAAAGACCTTTACAGTTTATGGGAAAGGTGATATCTTATGCTTTCTTACGTCAGCTCTGATTATCTATCTCTAGCCCTCCCCTACTGCTTCCTTAAATATATCTTGCTTTTACTTGTTTTCTGTGTCTTTGTTCACAAAATTTTAGTTTAAAATTGAGAAAAAAATATTAAAGAGAACTTCAGTTAAACAAAGTAGACAATAACGTCTTTCAATGTACATTGATCAAAAGCATGATTAAACATCAATTAGCGCAGATGCTTCTGTCCACTTAAGGCTATTTTAGCTTTATTAATACTTTAGTACTTTGTTTTGTTTTTAAAGAGAGGTGACCCATCCACATACCCCTGGGAGCAACTCTTCTGACAACTGTTCTAAGATAATGGTACATAAACTGAAACCTGTCATTATGCAACGTTTCATATCCTCATTACTTCAGCTTACAAAAGTTTGGAATATACCTTGCTCCATGTGATAGAGGATCAGTCTGGCTAAGACCACTTTCATAATGCTCTCCCCATGTCCTGTGGTTGAAGTGGCACCAGAATGGTTATCAGCATAACCTCCACTTCCTTTTCAGAGTGTGAGGAAAAAACAAAAAACAAAACAAAAAAACCAAACCAAACCAAACAAACAAAAAAAAAAACCAAACAAAAGGTCAGTATTCTGTAATACAATTTATAAGCTCTGCATTGTTTGAAATGGGTATTGAACATGTCTTCCTAAAGGTCCAGCAGTTCTGTGCACTTCTAGGAACAAAGTGTCAGTAACAAACTTTTCTCATGTCTACCTCAGTTTGAAAAGTAAAATATATGAAAGAGATCAACAACAACTGGATGAAGTCAGTTGCCAAGCTGAGGGCTACAAGGCCAGTGATCTGCTTGTGATACAAGAAGCAGAAGCAGGCCAACACTTCACATGGATGGGCAACAATATTTTCCAGAGCAGCAAGAGATAGTATATTGAGGATCAGCAAGATAGCGACGGGATGTAGAATGCCAGGTCACACAACATTACCAACTGATAAGATACAAAGGAAGATCTTGTGATGACATTGGTAAATTGACCAAAGTTTGAGGGGAACTTATCCACTAGAACAAAAGCAGGTAAGAGATTTGAAGAGCCTGGGCTCTAGTGAAGCATCATGAAGCACCCCTGAAGAATCTTGCAAGTCCTCACCACAAGCAGCGTGTTTCTTCTGTTGAACTCCTCACCTCTCCTTTTTTTTTTCCCCCTCTCATCCTTGTTTTGCTGGCACATTCCACACCCCATTTTCCACCAAGCTTCTGCTTGCTCAACCACCATGTTTCTAGCACATGTCCTAAGAAAAATATTCCCCAGAAGCTGGGAAAGAACATACCACGGCATTATAAACAAGGTACTAGCAGAGGGGAAAGAGGCATAGAAGAGCAACGAAAGTTTTTTCCCTTCTGTAATTTCTTGAACAGATCAGACCCTTTCAAAGGACCCCGATTTACAAGTAAAAAAACACTGGCAGTCAGCCTGTCAAAACCCCTTTTAAAAGGCTCTAATATTGAAAAGGACAGCTAGCATTTCTGTATCCAAGCCTGCAGATGTCTAGTAAGAGCAACAGTTGTAAGCCATTGGCTCAACAGTGCCCAGTTTCATTTGTCCTTCACAAACCTATGTCCCATTCTATAGGAGACCTGAACATGATCTATGTAAGAGAAGGGTGTTTGCAGCCAGAAGGCTGCAGTTAGAAAAGAAGCTGAAAATCATGGTCAAAATGCAGAGGGTACAAAAATATTAGCAGCTTAGGGTGTGAGACAAAGTTAGTATTAGATTTATAATAATCATGTACTGCCAACAGCAGTGCTATTTGAATCTGGAACATGTTATACTAAAAAGAATTATTTTCCAAATCCCAACTGTATGGTAGGACCCCAAAGCAATCAAATGGCAAGTCTGTCCCATGAGAGGAAGAAGTCTGGGGAAAGGATTTCAAGTGTCTCTTTATGCTTGGACAAGAGATCTCTTAAAATATTTCTTTTACTCCATACCACATCTGTTAGGCTCTGAGGCAGTTTTATCAGGGCTCTCTAAGAACAGGAATTTACTCAAAGTTGCCAGTCATTTTACAATTCTGGCTCACTAATATAACGAACAGTAATTACAATTACACCTTCTTCCTTAAGTATCAAGACAGCAGCATCTTTGTGTGGAACAGGCTACATCTTTTTGACATAGCTGTAAGCATGGATGTACAAGAGGAGAGCTTTATCGGAATGACCAGAAAGGAAACAGAGAAAAAAAAAGTTAGCATTCAGGAAAGGACAGGAAAAAAATTCCCATCCCTGTTCTCCAGACAGAAAAGTGTTGGATGATGATAATAATGACATCGGTACACCTCTACTATCCATCCTTACCCACAATCTCCATGCTGTGCTATGGAGCTTGAACTTTGACACATTTGAATGTTAGACCTCCATTTCAGATGTACCAGTATTTATGTTTCATTTCAGTAATGAAAAGGAGAATATGTAATACTTTCTTTTCTTTTTTTCTTTCTTTAAATGAGAGACCTTCTAAAAATGAGAGGCAAGACCCCACACCCCATACCTATGCATGCTGTGTCACCAACACGGCCAGTCAGTTTATTAGAGAGTCCTCCAGTGGATGTTGCACAAGCTACATTTCCTTCACTGTCTATAGCAACAGCACCGACTGTTCCAAGGTCTCTGCCAACAAAAACAGTTCACAAAATTAGGTTGAATTAAAACATACCTGCCAAAGCATGTTGCATTTATTTTCCAGGTAGCTTTAGAAAACATTACTGCAAAAAAAATTACTGCTCATCATAAAGCTATTTTTTACCATGCTTCTCATTACAAAAATAACAAGCAACAGGCAACAATTCTCATCACTTTATAAACACACAATTATTTTTTTTTATCTCCCCCCTTGACCTGCTTACTTTCATATCATGGAAACTTTGACTGGGGGAGGAAAAAACCCACAAAACAACAGAACACAAAGCAGAATATTTCTAGCCATCATAGTTCTGGAGTAGTTTTTTGGCTGTGACACACCTGATACACAACTTTCCCCTAAACTGCAACTCAAAGATGCAAAAACTGTCTCCACTGTCTCAATGGGAGGTTAACTGGATTTATTAATGACAGTGCACATAAACAAGTGAATACAGAAAAGGACAGTATGCACTGAAGGAAATGCACTGAATCACTTCCTTCCTGTTCCTCCTCTTTCCTCTTCCTTATTCCCTTAAATGTTTGAGTGCCACAAAAAAAAAAGTTATTTATGTATCTTTCAACTAGCATTGTTCACAATGCTTCATTAATACATATTTTCATCTTGGTAGCTATGCAAACTTGCAATCTTGAGGTTTAAATCACTTGGCCAGTAGAATCTGTTGAAACCGTACATCAGCTTAACAATCTTCATGCACCAAAGAAAATAGAAGTTCCCACTACTGCTTTATTTCTTCAGCACATGAAAGTCATATATAATAAGCTGCTTAAAATAAATGTGTATTCATTCTAGGAGAAAAAAAGGCTATTGTAACTTACAGTAACAGTTGCTGCACTGAAAAGCAAGACATCACTGAGAAGCAACAGTTTGAGTGTCCACATATTCCAGTTTTGGCAATTCATGCAGGAATATAAAACAGTATCTGGCTAGGAGAGGTGTACCAAAAAAAAAAAAATCTAAATCCCACTATACAGGAAAAAAATCTGTAACAATCCTTCAAGGAACTGTCCAATAGGTGACTAAAACAGGAACACCTTTGGAAGTTGCCTGAGCATTGGTGAGGGTCTCTCTATAGCCCCACAAAATCTCAGCTAATTAAGTCAGACAAAGTCTTTGTGTACCATGAAACCCACAGTCAGTTTCTCACAGAACCAACTTCCTGTTCCCTCTTGCTTATGTAAAATATCATACTGTCAGTCCCCGCACTTCATTCACAGCAATTCAAAGTTGACTGATGAATCACAGGCCTTACAATCTGCTCTGACATTTATGTGGAGACGGACCTCATCTCAAACTGATATGATGGTGCAGATGGGCTTCCCACCCATCCATCTGTTACAAATGATTTGCTGAAAAGAATATTAATAAATTGCACACTCATGTGGCACCCTTCAACCAACTACAGTCAGATCCTCCTGAGAAATTAAAAAAGGTGCATCCAGATGTACATTTTCCTAGGTATCTATTTACATTAAGCAACTATGAGAACAATGGAAGTACAAAGAATCACATACACAGCAGCTACCCGTTTTGGTCCAAGAGCTCAAGTGGCAATAAGTAACAAAGTGAACGTGTCTGACATACCTTATCTGCGATGGAGCAAATAGACAACTACACTCTATTTCTTACTGTCCCTTTAAACTTTTTTATTGCTTCAGTATCACATTTTATTTGTTCATCTTCAGAACAAAGGCAAAGAAGATAAAAACAATATGTTGCACAGCTAGTTGACTCAGAAACATTACCAAGACAGGCAAAACTAAGTAGAGACATTGTATTATAACCATCTGTCTATTGCTAGTTAGTGACAATAGCAAGAACCTCAACAAGTACCTGCAGTATACCAGAGGATGCTATTAGTAGTAATTATTTTATTCGGTCAATGATTATTCTTATGTACTGCATATACTGTGATACAGAATAGATCACTTGGGTTTGCTCATTCCCTTTTGCCTAAACCTTTCATTATTCAGTACCCATGAAGTTACATGTACTTATTCTATTCCCATTCAACTCATAAGGCATCTGCTATTCCACCTCTTAGGCTTGCATCAGTAGTAGGGTTTTCTGTCAATTGCTCTCAGGGTCCCTGTTAATTAATACCTCCTCGAGGTACTCTTGCACCGTGATTCACAGAGGGACTTGTAGCCTGTCTACTACCTTATGGCCAGACTCAACTCCCCTTCAGGGGGGTTTCTCAGGCAATCTCCAGCAATTCTTGACAAATGTATTGTCAGAATCTTTGGAGTGAGAGATGGAAAACAAACCACACCTTATTCTCAGCAAAAGGTGTACAAGAAGCCATGTTGTACGTGCAGTGGAATCATAAGGTTTTAGCATAAATGAATGCAGGCTTCTAACCAGCAGAAGAGGAAGGTCTCTCTTCCAGAGACACCAAACTTTCCTTCGAAAGCTGTGAAACCCCAAGGTTTCCAACACTGTTAGGACCAGAGGACTGGAAGTAAAGGACACACCAACCTTCAAATTCCCAGTATGATCTGGTATTATGTTGCCTCTGACTAATACTACTTCACCTTCTGTCTGTTCACCCCAGGCAAGTTTCTGCATTATCACTGTGGACATAACAGGGAAAAAGAACATTCCACATGTGATACAGGAACAAGTGGGCTTGCATAAAAAAAAAAAAAGATCTGTTCAACTTTGTGAATTTATGCTGATGTTTTGGGCACCAGTTGTCAGAAAAAGAACAGAGTGGCTAAGACAAGAAAAAGTCTTGAGCCTTTCATAAATACACAAAACTTCTATTATCAGGTATTCTAGAACATGACAATGCTGAAATTGAAGATGCCTAACACCGTTATAAGAAAAAAAATAATTAACCAGTTAATTTACCAACTTACCTATTCAGGATACCAAATAGCAGTAGGGGCTATGCCAACCTCAAAATTTTTTGTAATGAATTATAATACCACATAGTCCTTGGATAGATCATGGATCAGAAGAAAACTTCTACTGGATACAAAATGAACTACGACTGAGACCTTATGGTTAAGGAACAACTTCACTTTGTTTACAAGACCATATTTACTCTTGCCTCATGAATTTGTTTCTTCTTCTAGGAATTTACTGAAAGTAACATACAGCTTGTAGTTTATAGCCTCATTTCATGGACTTTAATCAACGTGACCACAGAAGAGATTTCCTCCTTTTGACCTACAAATTCTTCAGCTCTGCTTCTCCCATTACTACTATAACACAGAACAGATGAACAACATGTAATACAGCATTTATGTAATGTATTACAGTGTTTTCCTATGCCACAACCACTGATGTACAAATGGAAGCTCAGAACAATTTAGTATTTATGCCTATCTCACAGGCATAAAAAACATTTTTGACACCTGATGATTTTCCTTTCTTTCCCTTCCACCTCACCATCCTCTCTATATAAACTCTTATTTTTCAAGTGACTTTCATTTTGCTGTTGTGCAGTATCACCTCTTTTCACACCCACCATTACACTGAACTTCTCGGTCAATATTCTAATTCTTATCTACAATGACCAACAGCCACAATGGGCACTCAGGAGGAGTTAGTGCTCAAAATCTGATTTTGTTTAACTACCTAATCCAGTTTAAAGACAAATCCAATCATCTGCTTAACCAAGATCAGCTTTATTAATTTTATATTTTTTCAGGTACTTGTCTTCAAATGTGGACCAGAGTCAAACCCAGGACAAACAGAGATTTAAAGGGAAAAAAAAAAAAAAAAAAAAAAAAATCACAGTTCCTCCCCCAAAAAGGACTCTACAAAGTAATGCCTGCTGTTTGTTACAGCTGCTCTATGCACTTCTATAATTGGTGATTTTAAGAGCAAAAACAAGTTCTAACTTTGTCCCCCGGTAATGCCACAAAACCTATGTTATGTCAAAGTGACTGACAGTCTTCTTAAGTATCTACAAGTTTGTCCAAATTTGTTCCAGTCACTTGCACTTGATCAAATCCATTGAAAGCTTGATTTTTTCATCACTGAGGACATAGTGTGAGGACTGTATCAAACCACATAACACTCTGAAGTATCCTCAAGTCTGAATACAGGCCTACCAGCTTTGTGGGTTTGGGGTCCTCTGTTTGAACTGATAGCACAAATTAAATAACCTGAATTTAAAAAGAAAAAAAAAAAAACAAAAACAAAAACCACAAAAACCTTACTTCTGAAACTCTTCTGGGTTGGAATCTGGCTCAAGGTTCTTCTTCCATCTCTCCCGGGATCTCTCGGTTATGAGTTTCTCCCCTGGAGTCTCAGGAATACCCATGGCCTGAGCAAACAGGTGTGCACCCTGGTCAGTCAGCAGCATGTGCTTTGTCTGCAGAATATGAACAAGAGATTAATTGACAATTTTTCTTTTGCCTTGAACAGTTTTGTATAATCACTATTTTTAGAAGTATCCACACAAAAAAATTTCCAAATTTTATTTGTTAACTTTCTAGATTTCTATGCCCGTATCCTCTTCCACTAGCTGAAAAAATTTTCAGCTCTCCAAAACACAAACTTTTGCCAAGAAAAGTTGGACCAAATGATTCTTGAGGTCCCTTCCAACCTGGTATTATACAAAACTTTCATAATTAGTAGAAAACAATTGCATTTATCTATTTAATACTTATTGTAATGGGAGAAGAAAAATTGGTAAATTTGCTATTTTGCTAATTTGGACGCAACTTCTTTGTACTGTTTCCAGTCAATCACCAAATTACTACTTAACTGTTTTGTCCAGTTAACTAAGAGATCTAGAAGGATTTTACTTGGAATGAAAGAATGGTAAATAAATTTCTGTTCTGTTTGAAGGCATTACACCTTGTAAAACAACCAAATACTGTAAATATCACACACTGATATGTTTAACATCAGCTGAACTATTTTATTTTAAATATTTCCTTCAACTAGCTGCTACTCTTATAGACCCAGAATTTCAATTTGAATACCAATCTAACAGGTTTGACCAAAAAATGTTTGTTCTAACAACATCTGCAGAAGCTCAACTTTGATTCTTTTATTTAGTAAAGCACTTCGACTGGGTTTGAAGACAATAACCTTAGTTAAAACCATGCTTCAAAGTCTGTACAGCTTGGCTAATTCATGTTTTAGAGAAACCTGCCAGATAAATTTGTTTCATTAATCCTTATAACTTTAGTAGCAGCTCTAAAATCTGAGGTTTTTTTGTTGTTTTTTTTTTTTTTTTTTGTTTTGTTTTTTTTTTTTTGTTTTGTTTTTTTTTTTTTTTTTTTTTTTTGTTTTTTGTTTTTTTTTTTTAAATCTGTGTCCAAAAATAAGCGTCAACTTCTTGGACCACTACACAGCTGTAAATTCCTCATCAGAGCCCAGGAAGGTTTTGGAGGAGTAGTGTTCTGACTATACAGTATGGGGTAATTTCAGAGCACAGCACCTAACTTCAAGCAAGCTTTGATGTCCATGCAGCAGCACAGCGCACAGGCACCGGCTGAGCTCCAGAAAGCAGAACCACATCATGCTGGAGGCAGCAAGCCCACAGAACCCCCAAGTGGCACATACTCAGCTCTCGGCCTGAAGTGAGGACACCAGAGGTTGGGTATTTCTGTGTCACGCTGCATTCCACAGGACATTTACAGTCTCAAAACTTCAGACTTTTAAGATGTTGCAGACCATCAACTTCTGTTGATTTCTAAAGCAATGACAAGCACTCACTACCATGACCAACCCATAGCATTGCATTGTTTTAAGGGATTCCAGCCAAACCTCTTCTCAAACTGCTGACACTGATCTCTACTTAAGCCGATTACAGGTTCTGCAACTAACCCCTTCAGATCATTACAGAAGTGGGAAATGTGACTACACTTTAGAAACGTTCCTGATGTTGTGGCCCTGACTTCAAACATCTTTGAAAATTTAAATGCCTTGTTATTGATAAATTAAGTCCTCAATTCAAGAAAGTATCGCTTTAGGGAACAAGAATGAAGGCTACAAGGAAGAAGTCATCTGTATCTGTGGAACAGTAGAGAACAGACTTACATGCTGAGTGATGTTACCAGACAATAAAACACCTACCTATTTCTAATAAAGCTAGTGTTCTCCAACTTGAAAGACAACTTCTTTGTGCAACACTGCCCCCCCCTGCCACTAAACCACCAGAAGCACACAATCCAGTAATACAAACTGGTTTTGGGGGTGGTGGTTTGGGTTTTTTTTTTTTGTTTGATTCTTTTTTCTGGTGTTTTTTCCTTTTAGAAAATACATCAAACTTTTCTTTTGACTTTATCTGTATTAGAAGGCTATGTCCTCCATCACCTGCTTTCTTCATCAATTAAGACCCTGTATCATCCTTTAAGGTTTGGGTTTTTTTTTAATAAAAATCAAAGTTTTATTGTAAAAAATGAAGTTATTTCTCAAAACTTTTTAAAAGGGTTACCTCCCATATGCAGATTTTGATAACATACCCACCTTCCTGAGCTACACAAACACGAAATACTTGCAAATAGAAAAATAAGCTTCTATAATAGGATTTTTTTTTGTTTGTGGTTGCTTTTTCGTAGTCCTCACTGAAAAGAAGCTACCTTAAGGAAAATCTGATTTGTTTTTCTCTTCAATATATCTTGTTGATCAAAAAGAACTAGCAGAACATTGCAAAAAAAAAAAAAAAAAACCCAAAAAAAAAAAACCAAACCAAAAGTAAATTTTTCTGCCTCATCCTTCTACAGTTTCATGCGTATGTTTGCTAACTTTCTTAAGTGACTAATTTTTCTGGGACACATTTATACAATGTAAACCAACAGAACAACAACAGCAACAAAGTTAAAGTTACAGAGATCTTACTAACAAACAACAAATGTCAAGTTTAGTTAATTTCATGAGAAACAGGGAAGAGAAAACCCCCCAAATTTCTGCAGCTGGCCTGAAATTCAGACCATCACTGTTCTTTATTTAACAACCTTGGCAGTGCATACAACACAGCAAAAATTTGCACCTTTGCCTTGAGAAGTTTATGTCCTAAGCTAAATTCCACTTTGTCTAATGCAAAGGGCTCAATGATATAGTAGGAGAAAACATATACATAGTTCATGTATTCCAATGAATCAGTGCTCTAATATTCACGAGATGCCCCTCTAATGAAGTGCTGAAGCTGAGGGGGATTAAATGCCCCATAAAAAAAAAAAAAAAAAAAAAAAGACAATCGATTTCAATGTATTCTATTTTTGTTTACTACAAACAGGAATAATTCAACAGGAATTTAACTGCTTTCTCAAGGATTTGTTGAATTAGTTAATGTACTAAAAGTCTTCAATCTCTAGAGGCTGCCATGTTCAATAGCATAGTAAATCATGAATGGAAATTATTCTGGTGCCCTCCTTTCTTCTACCCCAGGAATCTGGACAAGTTTGAGCACGGTGAGAATGTGACACCACAGTGGATAAATGTGCACAGCAACAATCCAGAAGAGCTACTCTGGCCACCAGATGGAGCCCATATTGTTCCACATTAGTAACGGAAATCAGAAAATTACAAGCAGGTGGGGAGGGCATTTTTGGTTTGTTTGCTTGGTTTTGGGAGCTGCATGTTTCAAAATTCCTTAAGGCAGTGAGGTATCTCAAAACCGCTAGGAAATAAGCATCCTAACATGCTTAGGACCCCGGGAAAACTAGAGTCATACTACCCATAGGTCACAGAGTTAAAGATATTTTTAATTGTGCACAGTAAACCAAAACAAAATACACTCTCAAATGTACTCAGAGACAGCCAGGATTGGTATCCCAAAATTCCTGTCCAAGATGAACAGACAAGTAACCTCAGATGGTATTGCCATTTACAGTATCTGACAGAGAAGAGCAGTAGAAACTCACCTCAAGATATAGCAAGCAATTTAGGTGAACATTTACATTTGAACTTTGTCATCTACACCAAATTTTTTTGTATCTGGGCAAAGAGTAATACACTTTACCACAAAATTTCATGTTTTTAGGGCTACACCATTATACTTGGTCCTGTATGGTTGAATTTTACAATTTCCTTTCAAATTTAGCCTCAATATTTTTGAACACCAGAAGCACCACAGAATGATGACAAAGACCTTATAATAGACAAGACAGATAGAAGGAGAGGGTTTTTTTTTTTTTATTTCGGGGGCTTTTTGTTCTGTTTTTCTGAAAAACACTTTGGAAAGTTATGTTCTCAAAAATCAACAGTAGTTTTTGACTTTATTCTTGTTGACTTAAATCGTGTTTTTTTATGGAGAAGATAACAACAACAAAAACGATCAGTGATCATGGAATACAAACTGAACAATGGGCATTAAAATAAGTTATCTACAGAAATAAATACAATAAAATACAACATTCCCCCCCAACATGCTAGAAGACATCTCTCCCCCAACCCTCCACCTATGTTCTCAAATTTTGAAAAATCTGGTCTTATGAAGCTAGTCTACCAGCTATTCTTATTTATCTGTTTTAGCTAAATGACAGAATTAAACCCATAGGATGGAACAAAAAGCTTAATCATCATATGTTTTAACATTATTTTCTAGTAGACATACATTAAATACTTCAGTGAAAAATTCTGATTTTAAAAGCAGAATTATCCTCCAATTAAGGGCAAAAATAATTCCTATGTTCTTCAGAGGCTGTTGAGGACAAATTACATTTCAATCATCTTTATAGCTCACCGAGAGAGATTTGTTTCCTCAAAAGTCACTTTGAAAAGTTAGAGAAACATAGATCCTCTTTGTTACTAAGTCTTTTTGCAAATATGAGCCCTTTGCAACAATGGGGTAGCTGTACTAGCAAGATGAAAAATGTAAACTCCAAAAGACAGTACAAACTTTTTTGACCACTGTCACAGTCTATTAATGGTAAAACATATACACATATCACACAAATGTCCTCCTCCATCCTAAACCACACCAGTTGCACCATTTCTGAAAAACAAGAGAAGTCTGCTGTGGCAGATATTAAAGGGACTTCTTCGTGGAGTAACATGGGATTGATTTTATGTAGAAGGTCAAATAGTAATCATTTTGCTGCCCTGATAAGTTTAATTCTCTTAGAAAATCTGTCACCATCACATAGTGCTAATGTTACCTTCTACTGCTGAAAGACCACAACTTTGCACTAAGGCTCCCATCTCATTAGGTCACAACGGAGAAGGCTACTTAGAACAACATACGGCTGCATTACATGGCCAAATATGTTACTGGGTCATTTAATTCAGTTCCATGTCATTGCAATGGGAACAGTGTATTATCCAACTTTAGTCTTGCAAGATCAAGCAGAAGACTCAGTGACAGCATGCAAGCTCTTTAAAAACAAGTGAACAAAAAAATCCCTAAAATCCTGAACACCAGCTGTGGATCTACAGATCAGACATATACAGGTCAATTTGACCCAGAGCTTCCAAATGCATGGCAGAACTTCGGTTCCCTTAGAATGCTATTTTTAATAAGTACCCCTCAAAAAAGCCTTAAAAAAAAAGTTCTTCATGGTCATGACCATAGTTTCCAAACACTACCATCCATTTTCCCCTTCTTTTCTGCTTTAAAGCATTACATAAACATCATTATTGAGGTGTATCAATATACTGGATGAACTTCCAAGGGAAAAAATGCTTTATACTCAGGCACATATTCAGCATACCTTTTCCATGACAAGTCGAGCAAGTTTTATTGGGTTTGCTATACATTTAACTGCAGATACTGCTCCAGAGTCTAAATTTTTTCCATCCATGATAATGGCATCCATTTCTACTTCACCTTTTTCATTTAGAACAGAACCACAACCTAATGAAGTTTTAAAGAAAAACAACAAAAAAAAAAATCAGAAAGGAAGTGAAGTCAGTCATTAAGAGCTAACCATCAGGTGATTCAATTCTTGTATCTCATCAAGCAAACTTTCCCATTTTGTCTGACTTCTAGAAAGTGCCTCCTGACAACAAACAAAACAGCAGAAAGACTGCTGAGTATAACTGCAAAAATCCAACAATTAACAGAAGTCTCACAGGGTACAACATCTACTTTAAAATTGAATTTTTAGAAGGTGAAAAACACACTTCCAATCCCATCTAAATGATATACTAGGTATAAAAGTTAAAACAATGAAAAATCGCGAACAGAATTCTTTATTCCCCAGACCACTTCAAGTGCACATAAAATTGTTTTACCTTTACATTTCTTCCAAAGGAAGATACAACATAATCCACCAAAACAGTATAGTGTTCAATTCTGTCAAGATTAACATCACAAAGCATTCGAAGAAACTGTTGAAATTGATGGAGCAGAATAAAAGTGTCCACTCACTACTGTAACAAAAGCTTGGAATAACAAGTTCTTCATTAACAAATAAAAACAGTAGATGAAGGAATTTAAACAAACGAAAAAAAAGTAATAAAATGTTGGGTAGTTGTTTTCTTCTATAAACACGGGTGCTACCAGTAACCTAATTGAAAATTAATGAGATACAAAATGAGACAATGCAAATAGGCTTTTTTTTTAATAATGCCAATAACCGCATCACAGGTGAATAATCAACAGTAAGTCATCAAGTGTACAAGCCTTGCTAATACAGATGGAGAAGACTAAACCACCAAAAAAAGTCAAAAAAAACAAAACAAAACACGATAAACTTACACAGTAGCTCAGGTAAAAAGACTTGAGCATTGTACGGAGCTGAAACAGTTTTTTAATTTCCGTTAAATCAACATTAAAGCAGGTCAGAAACCACTGTTAATAACTGTTGATATAAAACCTCTATACCAATGTACTTCAGACCTGAATATATGAAGTTAAAACCTCTGTTACAGGAAGCAGCAAAATCCTGTAATCCCCCTCCTGTAATCTCCAAACCTCCCCTTCACACCCCCACCCCCACCCCCAAAAGATTATTTTTTTTTGCCCCTTTCCAACTGCATAAACTGTTCCATAGTTCAGTCCTGCATCATTCACAACACGTACATTTCTAGACTACACTGATGTGTAAAGAGTTTACAGGTAACTGCCTTGTGCCACCCATGTTAGCATCTTCTAGCTTTACCTTTATGCTGGTGTAAAGAGTAAGTCTTTTTTGTTTTATTAGATAAACCCTGCCATACTCTTTTACCTTCATTTGACAAGGTAGGCTCTCTAGCCCATGATCACAAAATTTCCACTAGAATTAGGGTACCCCCTTCTCATGTATCAGTGACCACAAACATGGTCCCAGGGGAAGTGCTACCAGCCCCCTTCATCACTGCATTAACAGTATCCTATGTCTACTAGATATCTCTCATGGGATACATTTTAAGGTTTCCTGATCAGAAAACAGTTGCAGACAATTCCTCTAGTCAAAGGCAGCTTCCTACAAAAGCCTCCTTTTACAGTCGGTGAAGAGACACAGGTGCCCTCTCAGAACAATTCATCCCACTTGCCTTGGAGAGCTGTACAGCCACCCCTTCTCATTCCACTGACCATTGTGAAAGTTTGTACACCACAGCATGGCTAGTTACTAAACTTCAGGCTATCTGAGTTTGGATGAATCATTTTCACCTGCCTTCCAGCATGATGGGTGAGGACTACCTGCCATGGTATCCATTGGCAGCAGCACTGAAAAAAAAGTCTGGTTCACTTGTGAAGCAAAGGGCAGGGAAGAAAACAGAGACACAACAGAGGACTGAAAATCTAAGGGGACACAAATAACAAATGTGTCTGATATTAGCCAAATCACAGCAGGGGTACCGAGAGGACTACTCTAATTCCCTCTACCTACAGACAGATCTGTCATCTGTTCTGCAAAGACTGAGGAAAGTGTGCAAGGATCACTGTAATGATAGTTCCTGTATCTGGAGTATTCACACCAAGCTAGTTTAAATACTCCTAGTCAAAGAGATCACATGAAGGAAATATAAGCAAGGCCACGTCTTCATCATAAACAGATCTTAATGACTCATTATGCTGCACTAAAATGGTAGTTTTGGACAAGAGTATAGCTTCTGAGCCCCTCCACCAAGCCTACATCAAGATGCATCTACACAGCATGGCCAAACCCTATCATTCAAAAAAGGACACAACTTGATCGTTATGCCCATTCTTCCCAATCTCTATTGTTGGCTCTTAGCAATTTCTGTGTTTTCCTAGAAAATATTACAGTAAAAATTATTTTCTTTTACAAATACAAATACCACACAGTGAGTTTTAAACAGCCACTCCAATCAGGGCCCTCTTCACATAGCTTTCATCTCATTCTCACCAGCTACTGAGAACAGCTGTATCTAATGAGTGTTAATGCAATTAGATGTATCTGTAAGTGATTACCAGGCTACTTGCCATTTAGATCAGCATAGTCAAACCTCAACAAGGGCTTAAGGCTCAAGTCCAGTTCAGTAAAATGAGAGAATGCCAATAGATGTTAATTATATAATAGTATACAGCACACCTTTAAGTCCACTTCATGAGTTCAGCCTGAATCCTCTAAAAATCAAGATGTTAAGCCCAAGTCAATAACAAAACACTGAAAGCTTCATATAAAGTAAAAGCTCTCCCCTGCTCTCAATTACAAGTTGAGAAGGACCAAGAGAATTTCTACAAACTAAGTGTGCACGTAACTAATAGGTACGTTCTCTAAACTGCTGAACACTGAAAGGTCTTTCTTTCCATGTTCATTCTTGACATACCTTGGTGCGGGTGGGGAAATATTTTCACTGAAATTCATCAAAATAATAAATTTGAGGTCGTAGAAAGGGGAAAAAATATTTTACTGACATTAATTAATATTAATTGTTAGGAAATCCAGTTATGAACCCTTACTGTATAAATTCATGACTCATATACCATTACTGCATTACTTCTGTAATAGTATTTACAAAAGAACTAATTGCAAATAGTAATTAAAACACCTAAAATCCCCAAGAACAGTATTCCTCTGGCAGTAGGTAAAGGTCAAGCATTAAGGCTTAAACATTGCTGCAAGCTATATTCAAGTGCCTTGAACATTAACTAAACATATACTCCATTAAGGAGTTCATGTCTTAAAACTGAATATGCAGCACAGTAACAGGAGATTTACAGAATAGTAATACAGCACCACAAGAATGAAATGGCAGGTATAAAACATTGAAAAATAAGAAAATAATAACTCTTCTGCCTAAGTGTACTCATGAGGACCTATGTACATACCATGCTATCTTATTATACAGAGAAATAAACTGATTTGTGACAGCCCTATTTGCTCCACTGCAATATGCATAATACAAAGAAAATGCAAGCCAGCATTTTCAGAAGCGTCAGGGCAAAACACTTGAAATGCATGATGATCCTAAACCCACTTAATTCTTGAAAAATTACCTGCATTAAAATGAGGATCATCTTCCATTGATCGTACTGCTTCCTCAGCTGCATCTAAGGCACTGCCTCCCTGTTTCAGGATACCATAACCTCGCAGTGCAGCTCTGACAACACCAGCACGACTTCCCTCTTCTCTTTCTTTAAAGATCCGGCCAGCTCCACCATGCACCACAATGACAGGCTTCATCCTGCCAAATTCCTCCCAAGGCTTGAAGCTGTGCACACAGGTTACTTGTAATTAGCCTGTCTTGGAAAGCGTCTTTAGCACGTGCTCCCTTCTACATGGAGAGAGATCTGCAAGTTAATTAACAGATATGGTCGGTTTGACTGCAACCATTTTACCTTTCAGGAAGGCGAGAAGTCCTCATGGGAAGGAGCTCCTAATTCATGGCTAGACTGGATGAGGTCCCAGGCAACTTGGCGTATCTTTGAAGTCAGCCCTGATTTGAGCAGGAGGCTAGGGCAGGTGGCATCTTAAGGTCGCTTCCAGCTACAGTCTTAGGATGTAGCATGACCCCTGTCTGATGATGTGTTACCAGTTACACAGAAACGAGCACTTGAGTAACCTTTGACCCTGCTAACTGGATGGGTAGCCCCACTGAGGACAGTAATATAACCAGCAATAAAGAAAAGCGACTGATCCAACCCGAGTTAAGTTTAACCAGCCCTACTGTCTGGATTTCAAACCTCTGACCTCTTGCAAAACTCTGTACTTCACACAGGAAAACAAGGCATTCAAACCTGGCAATCAACAGCTTGCTGTTACTGCTCCCAGCCTCCTGTGAGCAAAAAGGAGTGTTGCTACACATTGCCAGTGATGGCAATCACATTTTTGCTTCCAGTAAAAGGCAAAGGAGAAGCAGCCTCATCTCCCACTGAAATCTAGGGCACCTCACCGGGGAAACTCTCCACGTGAGAACAGTTTCTCAGGGCCAGCTATTTTTGGAGGCTGTGAAGAACAAAACCCAACAGCCTTTCCCTCATGCCACACGCGCTCCCTTCGGTCGGAGGCTCCCCGCAGCCCAGCGCTCCTGACCGCCCGCTCCCTCGCGCTGCCGCCGCCCCTGGAGCGGCACTCGCTCTCGGGGCCGGCCTGCCAGGATGGCAGCGGGAACGCCCCAGGCGAGGGCCCTACCCGCCTCGCTTGGGCTTTTCCCCCCGAGGTGGCTCAGAGACGTCTCGATTACCGCCGAGCGATCCCGTAAGCGTGGCCCGTCACATTTTTATGTCAATCGGCTGCTACGCTCTTCCCCCCGCGAGGGCCAGGCACGGGATCCCCTCCGCCGCGAATCAAACCGTGCCGGGCATCGCGGGGGGGGGGGGGGGGGGCCCAGCCGGCTCCCACCGCCCCCGCTCAGCCTCACCCGCCCCCGCGGAGAAGGGAGGACTCGGAGCCCACCTGCAGGCGCCCCGTCCCCGCGGCAGCCGAACGGCGCGCTGGCCGCAGTCCCCGGCGGCGGCAGCGCGGCGGGCCCAGCCTTTTCCTCGGCGGCGCCGCTGCGGGTAGCCGCCCTCAACAGACATGGCGCCCCGCCACCCGCGCTGAGGGATGCCCACAGTTGAGATGGCGGCCCGCTGCCACCCTCAGCGGCGGGCGCGGCGCCGCTGCCGGCTGCCTGGCGAGTGGGGCCGAAGCATCGTGCCCCTTCTCGGCATCGATTCCCCCCTCAGCCGCAGGCAGGGAGTGAGTTCTTCGGCAGCGTGGTCCCACGGAGAGGCTAGAGCAGTGCTTAGCGCTGCTGCCGTGCTGCAGGAGGCAGTAACGGCCACATGGCACCACCTCAGGGCCCACCGCTGTTACTAGAAGGTGGTAATTAATTCACTCCCTAAGAGTCAATTTTGGAGTTTTAGAAAGCAGGCATTCTTTATTACAGCACCGGACGCACAGGGGATAGCTCCTCCTAATTTGTGTGTGTGAGAATGAAATCAACAAGCATTTATACTACCTTAGTATTCACTGCATTTTTATCATATTCATAACTTTCCTAGGAACTCATGTAGCATATGTTAATGTCTCTTGCACGTGTCAGTTGGAGTCTTCGGGTGGTTGTCAGGGGTTTTCAGATGAAGGGTTGTAGTCTTCTTCACTGTGTTTGCCAGCTGACCCTTACTTCTGCGCAAACTCAGTCCGGTGGTCACGTACATCTTGTCCTTCAAGGCTGGCCTGGCCTGGTTTTGTTGCTAATTTGCAGCTTCTTTATGTTTATTTGCACCTGCCACTACAAGGCCAAACCGTCTCCAGTAAGATTATTTATGAGTGCCTTATCCTACAGTTAGTCCAACTATTCCTCAAAAGATCAGTATTTGTTCTGCAGCACAATTGTTAAATGGCTAAAACATATTAAATTGATCTTAATAATTCAATTCCAGAAATCTCTATTTTCTAATAATCTCAGTTTGCAGGTATCACTGCCTCTGAATTTCCCCTGGAGTTAGAAAAATGGCAACTCTCCCCAAAATTGATGCCCCAACAGCACGTCCCGTGTGCCTGCCCTTCCCCTCTCTTCCCGCCAGACCAGGTTATTCCCGTTCCCAAAGCTCAGGCTGCGGAGTGTGAGTTGAGAGGGCCTGTGGCAGACATTAGGCATCCCAGTCTGCTGTCGGGTTGGCACTGGCCAGGTGAGGATAAGCTGTACATGGGTGCACTGATCCCAAATAGACAGCAAAGGCAAGAAATGAGCTTGTTATTTATTACTAATATTTTAACTATATGCTTCTGGTGGAACAAAGATTTGCTACAAAAAGAGCTACTGAAAAAACTCTCCTGAAAAGGAAAAATATTTGTAAAATACAGTTCATAAAAAGGAAAAAAAAAAAAAGTTCCTTACCTTTATAGTAAAAAACCCCAAAATTTCTCAAAATTTATACAACCTACCCAGAAAGCAGCTGGCTGCCTTCCTTGACCATTCCTGCTGAGCTTACCACCTCTTAGCTCCTTTTTTCTCTGTTTTATTGCTCTAGGCTAGGCTGCAGGGAGACCAGTGAATGCAGTCCACTGTGGCCATGCAAGGAGTAGAGGTGACATGGCTGTGCAAAAGGACAAGGATTTATGGCAATGTGTAGTCACTCAATTTAAGATTTATTTTGATCCTGAAGGTTGGTTTAAAATGAATTAGTGTGGCTTAATTAGAAGGAACTACTCTGGATGCTTTTTCATTGTCACTGATAGGATTAACAACGAGGAATTTAAATTTCATATGTGAATTATTTGAGAGTACCGCTTGCTTTTATAGAATATTTATCTTGCTTTCAGAGGTAGTGTCAGGAAAATGATAGTAGTTAGATTAAATAGTTTCAAAGAGTTAGTTCAATTGTTTGCATGGACAGCTAAACACTAAATTTTTATAGTAGTCTTAAACTGAAACTTTATTATTAGTCTAACATTGTTACCGTTCAACAAAACAAGCATGTCACTTGACAGAACTGGAATAATCTGTTTCTACATCAGTTTCCTACCTGAAACCCTCTTTGGCTGATGCTTTTGCCATTGTGGTCAAATCATTTTATGTTCTTTTAAAAATGCTGTAAAGTGTTTCAGAACTTACCAGAGAGTATTATTTTTAGTTTTATGACTATTATGTAGGGGTTTTTAAAAATCAACATGTTGAATTGCCTATTAGGAATCTGTCCTAAAGCTATGTAAACTGTTAGGATAACTTTTAATTAATTAGTGTAAAAAATATTGATTTCACTTTTTCTAATTTTTGTAAGAGAGCTTTGCATGTTATTATTGCCAGAGAAGCAAATTTAAAAATATACAGAACAATTAGTTCTTTTGCATGTGGAGATTAGCTTTCCTGCTTGTAAACTGAATGTGCTGTACTTGAAAGAGGTGGGAATGTGTTACCACAGGTGAGTAAGGGCCAGAGGGCTGAAGCAGGGAGTAATCCATCTCACCACATGAGTAGGGAACCTGTGTGTGAGAATAGCCTGAGATCATGGGGTCTAATCTGCATCTCAGATGACTAAAATACAACTATAATTGTGCCTTCTATTTTCCTGCAGAGCTCATATAATTAAGGGCATGCCTTCCTTAAGAGAAAGAATTCCCTTAGAATCTCCTTGAAAATTTAATTTTAGGAACCAGCAAAGAAAGTTAAATATATTGCAACTTTTAACACATATGCATAATATTTTTTTTTTTGAGTAAATGTTTATGTATCAACTTGTCTGTTATCTGTAAACTATTTTAAAAACTTCAAAACATGATGTGGAACAGAAAACATTGTTCTGTATTTTATTATTTGGATTTTAGGAGCATGCAGCATTGATTGAGGCTAAGACTGCTTGAGCAAGTGCCACAGGCATGCAGAAACTCAATACTAATTCAAAAAGTCTGCAAACTTAGATGTTTTTATATTAGGCAGAACTGTCATATGGAGATCACTGCAGCATTAGGATGCTCAGGTCATGCTCTGCAAAAACTTGTGCATGTTGAATAACTTTGTTCATGTGCACAATTTGATTAAGTCTGTAAACCGCTTCTTACCATAGTCTTATTGCGGAGAGTATGATACCATTTAGAGAAGCTGGAAAAAACAGTTCCTCTGAGAATCAGTTTAATTTGTTAATGTAAATTGCAATATTTCTTTTACTTCCAGGTAAGATCAGCAGTGAAATGTGCAGCAGCAAGACAGAAAATGGTAGATGTGGTATTGTATTCCCTAAAATACAAATATGATCAACTCAAATTCATTAATGTTGAATAGTTTAGCTGGAAATATTTTCTTGGGTGGAGAGGCTAGAATCACCAGTGGCAATGCTGTTTTCTCCCCTTCTGCCCAGAAGTGAGATTAAATTGGAGATGAGTTCATTTTCCTACTTTGAGAAGATTTTAAACCTAGAACTCGGATGTCCTTCACATAGCAGATTGTCCCAAACAAGAAGTTAACAGCATCTTATTGCTCCCAGTATTTAAGTATTTCATATGCAGTGGGATGGTCCTGCCAGAGAAAGAGGTTGGTGGCTCTCTGAGAGACCTGTGTGCTGAGAGAGAAAGCAGAGCAGTTTATGATGCAGTACTGGTCATTGGAAATCCCATTTCAGATTGAGCACAGAGTGGATTTGACCAGTTTTCAAAGCTAAAGCTTAAAAATGGTCCTGGTGGTTCCTGTCACTGTGTCATGTGTATTTACTGAGAATTTATCAGTATTTATCAGTCTTGTTCTCTGCTGAAGGTGCATTTGAGGTGAGTGTCCTAAGCACAAGGCAATCAAACTACAACATAGATGACTGGCAGAGACTAAAATTAGAACTTTTTGTTTTCCTTTTCTTCCTGTTGTTATGAGAGCCCTGAAACCATGTTGCATTTTTGTCACTGCAAGGCTGAAAAAACATGTTCATCTATCACCTCTGTGCTTTTGAAGTCCCTCCCACAGCCTGTGAAGTATATAAATCCCAGCCTGCTCCATTCTAATCACTTTAACTTCAAAGAAGGCAGATCAAGTTCAATTTTTTGAGATTATTTTCAATTCTGTTTATTCCAAGATTTACATTCCCTCTGTAAAACTCTCTCAGACATTCTTGTTTTGGCTAATCTGTCTAGTACATATGTGTAGCATGTTGGAAAACCTGTCTGTATGTCTGACAGGAGCTTACAGCTTCTCAGCAAGTGTAGGGGACTTCTGGATCGATCCATCCAGAGAAGATGGTGCCCTCAGAGCTAGCAAGTGTCGTACCTGCTTTGGTTCAACCCCATGCCCCTAGCAAAAAACACTTGCAAACTCCAGAGCTATCACAGCAATTCCAGGCACTTAAACCCCCAAGATTTAGGAAGTATTTCTCTTACATGCCTCTCATTTATTTTGACCTTAAATTTTGATTACATTAGGAAAAATGCAGTTCTCTTTGTTCTTAATGATATACAATTAACATGCTAAAGGCTATAATTAAAACAGAGATTTTTAGCTTAGCCCATGTTTTAGGCAAAACCATCATTACCTTTTAAAATTTTTTAAATTAGAACACATTTGCTTAAATATAGCTTGAAATTAGGCCTCAAAATTACAAACACTCCAGGAATTTCCATGGAAATTTATAATACACATCAGCAGTAACTAAGACTCAGTTCTAAGTATTTTGTCATGTGTGTAATCTTACTGAGTGTGATAGAAGTTCCATAGTAAAGATTTTAGGCAGTCTTGTCAATATTTAGAATTACTTCAAGGGAAAAGTTAGCACAAAATAGTTCAAAATAATTCATAGAGGATTTGCCTGTCTCCCAGTTGGAGCAGAATGAAAATTAATAAATTGAGAAATGAAAATCTGTCAAAGTTCTTTCTTCCTCTGCAACTTCGTGTCACTCAAATGAATGGACGTTGTCCTGGTTTGGGCTGGAATAGAGTTAATGTTTCTTCTTAGTAGCTAGAATAGTGCTGTGTTTTGGATTCAGCACTGGGTTTGGTATGAGGAGAATGCTGATAGCACACTGACGTTTTCGGCTGCTGCTGAGATTTCAAGGACTCTCTGACTCCCCATGTCCTGCCCGTGAGCAAGGACACAGGGAGCAGGGAGGGAGCATGGCCACAGCACCAGACCCAAACTGGCCAGTGAAATATTCCATCTCATGGAACGTCATGCTCACTATATAGAGGAGGGGTGGTCGGGAAGGGGCTCTCTCTCGCTTCCAGGATTGTGACTGTGGGATCTTGGTATTTCGGGATCGCTCACCGGGAACGGGCTGGGTATTGGTCAGCGGGTGGTGAGCAGTTGCATTGTGC